AAAAAAAAAAAAAAAAAGAATAAGCAGCCTAGGCCGGAAAAACAATATTTTTGATATTGGACACTGCGTTTACAGTCCCGGAGAAAATAACGTAAATTCTTTGATTCAATTTGCAGACAAGGCTACCCGGCTTTACGTGACAGATAGGAAAAACAAATTCCCCCACCCCTCCCCCTCCGCCTCTGTCGTCCTCTCTGGGCTGAGACAATAACAAACAACATTGATTACTTGGGGGGGGGGGAGGGGAGGGAAAGGAGCCTCGTCTGTTTCTGTCATCGCTGTTTCTGTGGAATTAATACATGAGTCTCAACAATTTTGTGGGAGTCTGAGCCGATATATAAGAGAAATTTTAATAAGAAATACCACCTCTATCGTAGAGTGTTTGCAACTGATCGCATTCCTCCCCTTCCTCCTCCCACGTATCTAAAGCCTGAGAAACAACAAAGATAGCTAAACGAAATCGCAGTTAGAGGTTGTTTTTACCAATGAAAATCTTCTTTTTTCTTTGCAGCATCTGACCTATCGCTTTATTTCGCTTACGGGTGATTTGCCCGAAGAAACGCAGAAGAACATTCTTCGTAAAATGATACAGAAATGGGCCGCTGCCAGCAGTCTGACCATAACAGAACAGATTAATAATGCAGTCCCAGATGATGACGTCGATATCTTGATCAAATTTGTAAGGCGTTACCATGGAGATCCATATCAATTTGACGGTCCTGGAGGAACGCTCGCACATGCGTACTATCCACATAATAACAGAGGTTGGTGAAGTCCATTACTTATCTTACAACTGTGCAGCAATAGTATCAACAACAATAACAACAACCACAGTCACGAATAGCCAGAGCAGACCAAAGCAGTAACATAGACAAGTAAACTCAAAACTGAAGCAAAAGGCAGTTTCATCTCTTGTCTCTTGTCCATACTTGTCACAGTTTCGTGACTTCGCTTACCTTTCATTCATTCATTGACTCTATTTTAACTTTTAAATCTTGCCTGAAAACATATCTTTTTAAGTTAGCTTTTAGCCTTTAGCGCTTTAATTACCTTGTTATTGTTAAATTTAGTCTATGTACGTATTTAGGATATTTTAATATTGTAATGCGCTTTTGATCATTATATGTTAAAAAGCGCGATATAAATTAATAAATTATTATTATAAATTTTCTTTCATCAGTATGTTTTCATGAATCACTTTGTTTACATACATACATTCTGTTTCAATCCGTGGCAGGTTTATCTGGTGACGCACACTTTGACGACGACGAAAGATTTACAACAGGAACGAGTGACGGCATCAACTTGGACTGGGTGGCGGTTCACGAGTTTGGACACAGCATGGGCCTGGAACATTCTAACGTGCGGCAATCCATCATGTACCCTTGGTACAAAGGTTATTTCCCTAATATCGAGCTTACCTATGATGACATACAAGGAATACAGGCGCTTTATGGTGGTAAGTTGTTTCTGCTGTTTCTGTGTGGTTAGGCCTTCGTTTCCCGCGAATTATATCATTTACGTATAACCCCTCGCACACGTCCCCAGTGTTTCGCTTCAGGTGATAGGAGAGAGAGACATCCCGAGTGGACCCTCTGATAAATCGTCTAGATTTGACATTAATGCGTGGAGTAGGATGATCCGGATCAGGTGGAGAGGCACTCAGTCTTCATTCAAATATATCAGCGTTTCGTACCTCAATCTTGCTTCCCGCAAGGCACTGTTTGACTGTACGCCAGGAAAGGTCTTTGTTGCTGAAATCTTCATTTTGTCTTTAACTTACTTTCCTTTGTTTTCATCGACAGCTCCTCCAACAAACCCAACGGATCCCCCCACGGATCCCCCCACAGATCCTCCTACAGACCCACCCACAGATCCGCCAACAGATCCCCCCACAAATCCGCCAACAGATCCTCCTACAGATCCACCCACGGATGCCCCCACAGATTCCCCGACAGTTCATTCCGCATGTAGACCCAGCACGACGTACGACGCAGTTGTCCTTGAAGAGGACTCAAGTGGCAACCAGATTACACATTTCTTTCATGGAGACTCTTTCTGGACGCTCTCAAGACGATTGGAGAGGAGCGAGACGAAGAAAGTGAAAGATTATTTTCCTGAAGTGAGGACCCAAATAAGCGCAGCTTATCGCAATAAACAAGGACATCTTGTCATTTTTTCAGGATCAAGGTAGGTTTGCGAGAACTCTTTGATTTTAGTCTTCTCAGGAAATCAATTACCATTTGCATCTAAATGTTTCTCCACAACTGTACGAAAACGAAAGAACGTCGCCATTTCTCCCTCTCTGCTTGTGAAGGAGACTACTAGACGATCGACAGCCACTGCACTCTAATGGCTGACAGTGTACGCGTAGCTCAGCCAATCAGATTGCAGCATTTGTATTTGTATACTAGTAGAATTCTACTAATTCATGTTATTTATATATTTCTTTGACAGGTTTTGGGAGTACGAGAAACCGACTACGAACAATTATAGAAGGAGATTACTAAGAAGCGGCTCCATAACCGAGTACGGGTTGTCGTTAAGTCTCGATAACATGGATGCGATTTTCACCTGGCATAAGAACAAAAAGACTTACATTTTCAAAGGATTGCAATATTGGCGATACGACGAAAACAACCGCCAAATTGATGCTGGATATCCAAAACTTATCTCAGTCGGTTGGCCCGGTCGTGATAATATTGATGCAGCGGTGAAATGGTCAAACAGGTATAGCTACGTCTTCAAAGGAAATGAGTACTGGAAGCTTAAAAATGTTCCACAGAACAGAAAAGTGTATGCCTTTGGTGGATACCCAAGAAAAATTGCTAAAGGTTGGATGAAATGCAAAACTGAATCTGTCGGCGCCTTGGGAGTAGGGGCGTTACAAGTCAACCCTTGAACTTTTGAAAGTGAATATTTATCGTAGCAAAAAGAGTTTTAGATCAGTGTTAGGTGTGCTAAAAGACAGGGTAATTTATATCGTAGCTTAAGCCGGAACACAGACAGACTGATTTCCATCCTTTGCCTCCTGCTGTTTCAGGCCGTATGAAATTTTAAGGGTTGAAGTTCATCGAGCAGTTGTTGATAATGTCTGGAGCTTAAGGCAGTAGAACTGAATTTAGGTAAAAAAATCCCCTTTGCATCAGTATTCCTGTTTGACATGCTAAATTGTTTTTTTCTGTCTTGCTAAAGTAGTATCTTAAGGATTCCTTCGAGTTCAAAGATGATATAATTGATACAATGACATTGGGAAGAAATTTAGCTTTAGCCATCACCTGTTCGGCAATGCGATAATCAAAAAATGAAGACGTTACTACTGTTTGTTTTGTCGGTAGGAACGTTTTGTTATATAGGTAATTTCAAAGTACAGTTTCTATTTATTTCAGTAAAATTCGTTGTAAATTGTAAAAGTTGTATGAGACACGTAGAATGGAAGAATAAAGTCATTCGTCTTGCTTGATGTTTGAGCTTGCATTAAATTCTGTATCAGCTCGAATCAGCAATACCGTTTCCCTTAGCCGTCTCGGATGCCAATCAGAACCTCAACTGGACTTGAGTGATATCATCCTCCAGTATTCTCCAAATGGAGGGCGAGGGATGTTTTTGACGGAGGAGGCTAAATGATATCCGTAGAAAATCCATGTACTGGTAAATCAAGAGAAAACGAGAGGAAAAAGAATCCAGTACCTCTCTCAAACACTGCAGTGTTCATTTTAAATGCATATCATAGGACATCAGTCTACATCTCTAACACGAACTCAAAAGGCGTTCCACATGGGTAATAAGATAAAGTATGTCAACAGCTCTGAATACCGGTGACTAAATCCTCGTTTTCTCTTGGTTTGACTCATGTGTTATACGTTCTTCAAATGAGCACAGTACGATTTATGTGAGAAAAAGAAGCGTGTAATCTTGGGGATTTTTTTTTTCGGTGGCTGCACACACCGGGACATTTTCTCTGCACTAACATTGTCAAATTTGTAGCCCTTCTCAAATGTTTGCGCAAACTGAAGCCATTTCTGGGTAGCTGCGGTCATATTTTAGGGCT